CATTGAAACATGTTGTACAACCATTTTTCACATTTATGGCAAGTACCATCGGATCTGTAATATCCATTAAAACAGGTAATACACCCTTTTGTTGTTTTAATGTTACACCCATCACTTGCATTTTCATCTCGTTTAAGTTGGTTGGTTGCTTTGCAAGATCCATTGGTTAAAACAAATCCTTCATTGCATTCAAATACAATCATCGTTTTTGTGGGAAAAGTCTTCATTGCGTATTTGATGTTATTGCCTATTACTTCACAATATTCTGCTTCAACAATAATCTCGTCAACTCGCATGAATGATATTTCACACTTCAAACATTTATTTAAGTGCGATTTTTGACAACTGAAATATTCTTTTGTTTTACATTCGTTAGTTGTTGTTAAAAGATATTCTTCCACACAAACAATACATTTGTCATTTTGACAAAATGAACATTTTTCCACAACACAATTTTTGCAAGTGTTTTCATTAATTGATTCTGTTTTAGAAACGCAACTCACACAATCGTTGCCATCAATTGATCCACATTTATGATTAATAAAACACTTATTTTCTTTAACGTTGATAACAAATAAACCACCACATTGAAGTCCATGTATTTTTGAATTTACCATTTTACATTTGACACCGCTTGTTTCGTCTTGACATTCATGACACAAATTGTTATTATCAAGATATTGATCTTCCTTACATTTAAATATAACATTGTTGTCATACAAATAATCTTTGTTGTTCTCTTCACATATTCCATTTAAGTTAACGTTAGAATGTTTGTTACATTGAATACATTTTGTTGATGTTTTATTTTTATAATAATATTTACAAATTGACTCCTCGCAGTTCCCTGTTGTTGTGATTCCATTCCCACAATCTTCACATGTGATTTTTGTGTTTGTTTTGCACAATTCTTTGTGTTCAAAAGGTTTACACATTTTATTTTGTAAATAAAATTCATTTTGACATTTTAGGCATTCGTTTTGTCCGTTTTGAATTTCACAATTTTCGGTGTTATTCACACATTTGTTTCCAATAAAAGTTGTATTAATTCCACATTTGATACAATTTCCATTAACAGTTACAAATGGTGGGAAACACTCTTCACATCTTATTCCAAAATTTATTATATTTCGACACAATTTACAATTGGTTTTATTCTTATAACATTCATCACAAGTGCTCGAAGTGTTTTGGTAAAGGTGGCTTGGGCATTCACATAAATTGTCAACGACAATGAATGTATCTTTACAAGAAGTGCACTGATTTTTGTTGGTTTGGCTACAAGTTAAACAATTTGGAATTGTATCACATTGAGAACAACGTTTTTCATCTGGGAAATACCCCAAAATACATTTTTGGCATCCATTTACAGCATCGCATGTGTTATTTTCACAATTTTCATCACATAATACACATCGATTCTCATCAAAATATTTTCCTTTTTCGCATGTTAAACAACCATTTGAAAGATTATTTGAACATGTCAAACAAGTTTCATGACATAAAGAACATATTTTGTTATTAACAAAATAGTGTTGGTTGCATTGGGTGCATCCGGTGGTATTTAAACATTTGTTTAGAGCACAATTTGTATCACATAAAATACACTGTCTTCCAACCAAATAACTTACTTTGTCTGTACATGATAGGCAGCCCGAACTTGAACCATTATCACATGTTAGACATTTTTCGTGACATTCAAAACAAGTCATATTGTTTTTATAATAGCCATTTTTACATTCAGTACAACCATTGATTGGATCACATTTGTTTACAGAACAGAAAGAACTACACTTTAAACACTTTGCATTTTGAAGATAGTATTCTTGATTGCAAGAAAGACAATTTATACTTTGTGAAGAACATGTTTTACAATTTCCATTACATTGAGAACATCTTTTGTTTTCAATAAAAAACCCATCTGGACACAATGTACAGCCATTAACAACATCACAATGGTTTGTACAACGTGTATCGCAAACGGAACAATAGAAACCATTTCTATATGTTCCACTTGCACAAGTCAAACAATTATTTGCGTTTGAACCGGAACATGTAGCACATGATGTATGGCACAGTGAACACATATTGTCATTGACATAGTATTTTTCCTTACACTCTGTGCATCCAGTATTATTAACACATTTTTTATCCACACAATTTAAATCACACTGCTTACATGTTCCGTCTTTTATGAAGTAATTTGCGACACAACTTTCACATTGATTGTATGCAGGTCCAGAACATTTTATACAATTTGGTGTGCATGGGCCACATCTTTTTCCCTCAACATAATAAGTATTACTACATAAAGTACATCCATTTTGTAGACAAATAAGACAATTAACATCACAAAGTGAACAACCTTTATTGTCTTTGTAATAACCAATCCAACATTCAGTACATCCATCATAACTGTTACAACTCGAACAAAATTGACAAGATAAACATTTTCCATTATCTAAGTAAAAATTGGGATAACAATATGTGCAAATTTCATAAGAGTTGCATATTTTGCAATTTGCGCTACAAGTTTCTCGTTTTAAAGTACCACCAACATGATATCCATTCAAATAAGAAGAACAAATTGATGGATCTGAATCACAACGTTTACACTTGGGGTTTGAACATCGTTCGCAAGTTTTTGAAATATTTGAGTAATAATATCGATCATTACATTCAATACAACTACTTGAATTTCCAAATGAACATAATTTGCAATTTGTAACATTACAATTATTAGTATTGTTTGTACCAGTCTTTTGCATAAGATCATCAACTTTAATCATTTTTGAATCTGTATCAAACTTAATTGTAACATTCATTCCGTTTGGAAGTCCAACAACAAGTTCTGTTTCTTTAGCACATTTAATAATTAAATTAATATCATTTTCACTCAATGATATGTAAGAACCTTTAATACTCCATTGATGCATAGAAGAACACTCGTTTATTGTGTTCACACAAACTATTTTATGTTTATCTTTACACCAATACAGACCAATAGAAGGTAAGATAAATAGTAGTATATAAATATACATATTTGTATTAATTATTGAGTTTATAAAATAGTATAATATTATAATTATTTAAAATCTATTATTATTTATTTTTTTATCAATTTTACAAATGAAAACAATTTAATTGTTTGTGTTGATAACATTTACATAAAACTATTAATTTTAAGTTACAATAACAATTATTATTTATTAATATCAAAATAATATGTATAATTGTTTTGATTTTGGCACTATAAAAACATATACTTTAAATGTTAATGTTGTTTACAAAACTTATGGAATGGTAAATGTGGTCAAATATTTATCTATTTGTTTGATTATAAGTCAAAATATAATAATATATAATTATATATTATGCAATAACCATAACCAAATTAAGTTATAACATTCAAATATTTATTGATAACATTGAAGGAATATAATATATAAAAAATGTTATATCAAGTTATATATAACACAAATCAAATGTATATATATAATAATAATATCAAATATTCTTGATTAATATGTAAAAACAATCAAAGTAATGTTCTTTGTTATTATATTTATTATAGTAATATTTATATATGATGTTTATAAACTATCTTTTCTTAATATATTGCAAGATTAGTTTTTTGAAAATTAACAATTATTATTATAATTATAAAATGGCAAATTACTAATTATATAAATTGTTGCATAAATCTTGTTAAACTGTTATATATTAAAGCGTCACTAAATGTTATTTATTATCCATATTAAAACAAATTGTTGGATATAATAAAATTATTATATTATTTGTTTTAAATTGATAATACCTCTTTATAAAACTATAAAAATGTTAATATGTTATGTTTTAGATTGTATTGTTGTAAAATTGTTAAATTGTTATTTCAATTTTATAATATTAATAAAAATGTCTGATTAATTTTAAATATAAACGTATAATTATAACTTGAAAACAATCGATGCTATTTATTTTTACTTAACAATTTGAATAAAAATTAAAAATTTTGGATATTAAAGGATATTGAAACATTTTAAAATAATATTATAACTAAAATTATTTAATATTTATTGGAAATTCTATTAAAATAAAAAATAAATATTATATATATTATATACAAAATAGATAAATAAATATTGCAATAAGAATTAATCAATAATATAACAATAGAAATAAATATTCAAAATCATTTTATATTATAGTATAATATAATAATACAATCAATCCATTATTAAAAATGTTTTTTTTAAAAAAAATAATTTTTTATTATATTATACACTATCATATCTTCTTAATTATAAACAATTATTAATGCAATAACGATATTTTATAATAATTTAATATGTTATTTATACAATATAATATCATTTGAATTTATATTTAATGAACAATAATTATTTTTTGTTGTTTAATTTTAATGTTGAAAAATTGTAATTAATATTTAATAAAATAATACAACAAAAAAACTCGGATCATTAGAACAATTAGGGCAACTTTAGTAAAAATGTGAAACGGTAAAAAATACATTTTTGGGACAAAACCCTTTATTGGCAATAACATTATTTTAATAACAAAAATTCAAATAACGTTATTCATAAAAGAAAATACCAATAACAAAATCCAAATAACAAAAAAATACAACAATTTGTTTAAATTTTAAGAGGATGTCTTTTTCTCGTCGATCATCACCTCTTATCCCAAGCCACAGCATATTTTGGTTGTTTTAAATGGATTTTAAAACCCAGTTATAGACACCTCTCATAGTAATAATACTTGAGAGGTCTTGTATCACTCAGGTTGTTGCTTTCTATTGTGTTAATGGATGCCAACAGATTAATAAAACAGATGTGAATGAAACAAACAGTATGAAATAAATTGTTTTTTTCGATTTTTTCTTTAAATAATTATAATTTTTAATTTATCACTTATTAACCCTGAATATATAATAAAGCTATTCAAAACTATAAAGTTTAAAATTTCAGAAGATAACGAGCACGGGAGTTCAAAAGATAGTAAAGAAGATTGGGAAATGAAACAAACTTCAAAAAATATAATAAAAAAAGATGTTGAAGATTATTTAAATGGTTCACACGACAGTTCCATTAATAGTTATGAAGAACAAGAACAACCATTAAAAGATTACAAAGTTTCTGTTGATATGGCAACTGTTGTGATTCCACCAGAAGCAAAAACGATAGAAAAATGGCCTTTTTGAAATCATACATTTGAGTCATTAATAATACCAAATCATATTTAGTCAATTTTAGAATATGCTTTAAACGGTTGTACGAACTTAAATAGTGTTGTTATTCGGGAGTCTGTGACTTAAATTGAAAAAAATGCATTTGATGGGTGCCCACTCACTTGCATTGTTTTTTCTAAAAATTTGACTTCGTTTTCTGATGGAAACCAATTGGTTTCTTTTACTATTCCTGATACCATTCAGAGTCTAAAGACAAATGTATTTTACTCAAATAACTTTTCAACTCAAGATATTACTTTTGGATCACAAAATCTTAACATCAACGGATTATCATCAATTGAAATGTCTGATAATATTACCCGAATTGTGCCAAATGCTTTTAGTTTATAAGAAAAACTAATTTACATCAAATTGTCAAATAAATTAACGAAGCTTCCCGATTGCAGTTTCATTGATGAACAAAGTTTACAATATGTTGATATTCCTAATTGTTCAAATATAATTAAACAAAGATGTTTTGAAAATTATCCATTTGAATAAGAATAAATATTAATATAAAACAATAACATTATAATAAATTATAAAAAGGCTTTTAATAATTAAAAAATTTAAAAAGGTTGTAATTGTTAATATACAAATACATGCAACTAAAATAAGTTGTCATACAATTGTATTCAAAAAAAATAAATACAAAACAGTACAACAAATTATAGTTGAAAATACAATGCGTAACGGTTATTTAGAACTACATGAGATCTTTTGATTTTTTATTTTTTATTTTTAAACATTTTTTTATTATTTGAGTTGTAAACTTAAGATACTTTTTTTATTTTATGCACAAATAGTTTACAATTTTTTCATTTTCGTGTTAAAACCACATAATAAAAGTTGCAAAAAATGTACTCATTTTTAGTTTCAAATTCTTTCAAAACAATTTTCAACAAAAGTTCAAAAGTTAAATTTTAAAATATAGACTTCGAAGTAATTATTATTTAAAAATAATCATTTCAATTTCAATTTCATTAACTCGATTTTTTGTATTATTCTGTTTTTTTCACTAATTGTTTTTAATGTTATTTATTTGATATTGTTTTTGTTTGGATTCTCATCTTTTTCAATTAACTCGTTAATATCATTTATCTTTCTTCCATTTTCTTTTGAATCTTAACAACAAGTGTAATAAAATAGTTTTAAAATATAATTTGTTCAAAAATAATCATTGAACTAATTTTTACAAAAAGACCACTAATTTAATCTGGCTTTTATTTTCAAGCAGGGTTCATCAAATTTGGATAAAAGGCTAGTTATGAAACACATTTTTTATTGAAACTTAAAAACAATAACATTTACGATATTGGTTTTTAATAATAATGTTATATTAGTAATAATCAAACTTTTAATAAAACTAAAACTAAAATAATAATATAAAAACTATAGTTACATAAAAGAATGCCTTTTTGTGTCATTTATAAAAAATTAACTGATAATCTAACATCTGTTGTTTTTACATCCATATTAGCACTGCTTGCATATAGATAAAACGAAAACAATGATTCAACTGCAGAAGATGTTGGTATCAGACTAACAATTAGAAAAACCAGTTTAGACAAATTGGGAAAATGTTTGTTACCAAATAATGCATCAAGGAGGCAAAACTTGCACATATTCTCCTGTGTATTTTCAATGATAAATTTGTCAACTTCATTTCTGTGTATATCAATAAGAGCTTTCAACTCGGTAATTTCTGTATCTAAATATTTAATTGGTTTTTTAACTGTTATAATACCATTTTTATAATATTTTTCTGGAAAGTTATAATATTCCAAGTGTTTGTTAAAATCTTGGTATTTGTCCAACTCAATTTTTACTGAAGATTATTTGCAAGGATCAGCCTTAAATTTAACACATGTTGAATTGCAGAATCTGATGTTAAGCTCATTGACAAATTTAAGAAGTATAGTTCGACAAGATGTAACAAAGGTGTCCGGAGCTTTGAATGACAAGAATCTATTGACTGACTCGAAAGACGAAAAAACTCCATTCGTTATGTCTGTTATTCTTTCGTTGAGATTTGTAATCAAATAAATAACATGAAGATATTCTTCGTTAATTAACCCAAATTTTTGCTGCATTTTGTCACAACAATTTTTTGAAATTTTAAGAATATCACAAAAAAGCCCAAAAATAGAGGGTTTTCACATCGAAAAAGTATATTTTTCTTCCTAAAAATTCATAGTAATTTACATCTTTAATAACATTTTTGTTGTTACTAATTAATTGACTTGTTTTGTACCGTTCGATTAGTATATTATTAATCTTTTTGTCAATTTCCAGTTCTTTAAAAAATACATCAAAGTCTCTAAAATTGTTTATCAACTTTTCCACTACCAATTCATGGTTAAACCAACGAGTATTACTCAATGTTGGTATATGTAAATGGTCCTTTTCTTTCCCACGAACACCCCAATACATATTCCATTGTGTAATGGTCACATTATTACTTATAATTTTTGAAATCTCTAATAATAAATTTCCATCATTTGTATTCCATAAAAATTCTTCGGCGACATTAAGACGGTGACAGAGGCAATAATGTGACATAAAAGTAGTTGAGACCAAACTGTCTGATGACTCTGTGATTACATCCCCTAAACTCTCTTTCACTTTTTTCTTTTTGCTAATCCTATTAGAGTTGCCACTCCACCTTTCCATCCTAACATTTGATTGCACCCATCACAAGTACAAAAAACACACTTTAAAAGTGGAGCATTTAACGAATCAAGTGCATAAAGAACCCATTTTGAAATGTTTACTGCAGTTGTTTTTTCAAAC